AAAACGTCTATTTCTTTCACACAGTCCATGTAGTTTACACTTGGAGGAGAAAAAATTTACAAATTATCCAAATGATATTTACAATAAAAATTCTATAATTAACATTCAAAGTCTATTTATTAACAACAAAATGTTTATTTATTTCACATAATTCACGTGACTTAGGGTTCGTTTGGATTTCAGTTGGGTATAATAGATTATAAAAATAATTGATTAAGTGGTAAATTTTAATCATAATTGATTATGTTATAACACAATTTGCTTGGATATTATTTTTTTAAAATTAATTTTAACTTAATATATGTTAGCAACTTTTTTAAAGATTTAAAATTTGAATTTTGCTAAGGAAAAAAAAAAAGAGAAGAGAAGGGAGTTTGATTTTTTTTTTATAAAATTTTGTGCTTTTTTATAATTTTTTTGGACTTTTTTATGTAATTTCTGCAATACTTTTTTATCAGCATTTCCAGAAAAGCTCAAAATATTGGCTATTGAAAAAAATTGATTTTAAGGGTTGAAATTGATTTTTTGCTTTTTCAAGTGTTTGGCTAATAAACTAAATAATTGATTTTTTTGAGAATAAAATTGATTAAAGACGTATCCAAATGGGCACTTACACTTGTTGCAGGAGAGGAAATTTATAAATTATCCAAATGAAATTTATAACAGAAACTACATAAATAATATTCAAGGTTCATTTATTAACAATAAAATATAATTTTATTTTACATAGGTCATGTGGTTTACAGTTATTGAAGGAGATAAAATTTTCAAGTTATCTAGATGAAAATAACAATAAATACTTCATAGATAACATTTAAAGTGTATTTGTTTGCAACAGAATGTCCATTATTTTATATAGTCCACGAGATTTATATTGATAAATGAGAGGAAATTTATAAGTTATTCAAATGAAATTTATAATAAAACATCAATAAATAACAATTAAAGCCCATTTATTTTCAACAAATTAAAAGGTCCATTTATTTCATAAAAGGGTAATTCTATCTTTTTAATCAATAGATTTAATTGCAAGGCCGCAAAATCATATCAAATTTTATTGGGCCTCTAATACGAATATGTTGGTTCCTAGGGTCTGCAACAGTTCTTCCTAAAATTATTACAAACTTCCAATGTCTATCCATTTTTTTAACAATGATATCTTGCTTTTCATTGCTTTCTTTATTTTTAAATTAAGATTTTTTTTCCATCTTGTGGTTCACAGCATAGGTATATCCCTACCAACCAAATATATAGTTTTATTAATATTAATAGAGTTAAAAGATAAATTTACTCTCAAACTATTTCTTCTAATTCCTATTATAAGCCACCTCTAATAATTTCATTGGAGATGACATTAAATTATTAATTTTATCTGAAAATAGAATAAACTTTTAATTTTTACATATTTGTAAATCAAAATTTTTTAATTACTTTACATTCTCTCTTAGTTAATGAGTTTAAATAGAAGTAATATTAAAAACATTTAATTAATATTCCACCAAGTGATGGCTTATATTAAGAACCATCAATTTCTTTTAGAATGTTCCTTATATAATAAAGACAAGATGGAGTAATTTTGAACATTTACCAAATTTTCATGTAGTGAAAACATGGAGGAACTTCTATAGAGCCAATAAATGGGTGAGCTCAGTTCATATATTGCACGACTCTTATGAACGTGGCTCATATGGACTTAGGACAAAAAAAAAACTCATTTATCATAAAATCAATCATTTCTTTAAGCTTGACCCTTATTGATTAACCTTAGGGCTAGACCGGTAAGCTTTTTTTTATTCTTTATTTTTTTATTTTTTTAATATTTTAAAATTTAATTTTTACATTATAATATTTCATATTTTTTCTAAAATAAAATTATACTATTTAGAAATTAAAAATAAGTAAAATAAGTTTTAATTTTAAAGCATAAGCTAATGTTTTAAAAATTAGATTTGGAGGACAAACTAGAAAGGTCAAACAAATCATGATTCATATGATTTAATTTGTTAGATTAATAGTTGAGACAGGCGATATAACAATTAAATAAAAATTATATTTATATGCACACACACATATATAATACTAAAAATATTGACAATATCATTTTTAGTATCCGAGTTGTTCAATCATAACATTTTAAGTTTAATTTTTCCATTTTTCAAATGTATATATTTTTTTTATTTACCTCATTCGTCCCCTTAAAGTAAATGGGTTTTTACTTTTCTCCATGGTTTAATTCAAATAATGTCAATAAACCAATCATTCATGTAAAATTTTAACTATAGCACTAGGAAAAGCTACAAATCAAGAATCGTTATGTACTGATCAGTGTTTATCTTTCCTTTTCACCTGACCATTTTCATTACTTTTTAATTTTTAAATGAAGATATTCCTTTACCATCTCGTGGTTCACTAGCATGCCCCCACCTGCAGCAAAATTTGATGGTTTAATTAGCATTAAGAGTTAAAGGGCATTTTTCTCTTCTAAATTGTTTTTCAACATTCCTTGAATTTTCATATGTATTACATGAAAAATCAAAGAACGTTCATTACTCCACACATCGGGAAAGTTTATGGGAGAATGGCAGATAAGTCTCAAAACACTATTTTAATTCTATAATTGGTGTAATAAATGAGCTAATCAATGATAGACTATCACTATTTTAATTCTAGAATTGGTGTAATAAATGAGCTAATTAATGATAGACCATCAGTTGTAGAGGAGTATAGCTCCACCAAATCGAACCTTATGTAATAATAACCATGGACCATTCCTTGGGTTTGAAGTGCACTTGGGAGTGAGGGATAAGGAAGATGTGACTGCACAGCGATTATCGGCATGTGGTTGTTCTGATTACATGTGAGATTGAAACTGCGACCTCCCACTTACAAGGGATACAACTCTTTATCAAAACAAGCTTTGGGCGTTGCTCCCCGATCAACTTCATATTAGAGGATGATTTTGGTTTCAGATTTGCAAATGCGAAAAGATGAAAACATAAACTTGCCTTTTGCACATATTTTGGGGAATTGAGTGAGGTTATTTAAGTAATTTGATTTTTCTCATATAATCTCCCTTTAAGACCTTAGGACTTTAATTACTAGCGTTTTATAATGTGTGGGACTTTTATATGATTAACTGGTCCTTTGAGACCCTATCTGTCATTCCTCCAAAGTTTATTCTACTTCTCATGCCGCCTGCGAGATAAGTCTAAGACTGCAACACTCATGAAAATGAAGGTTTAATTTTTTTATTTAAAGTTAAAGATCATTTTTTTCCTAAATTTTTTTCAAAGAATATTGGACATCCTATACTGATAAGTGATGTAATTTTTCTCTTAACTAATTTTTCTAAGGAGCAATTTTATCCTTCTATTAAAGAACTATAACTTTTATAATTATCTACCTACGTGGATTACATATGAGTCTCATTGATCATTTGACTTGTTTTATTATTGTAGGGTTAAAGTATTAACGCACTCATGAACTCTTTTTTTAGGAGTTCTAATAAAATATTGCAAAAATATAAAATATTTTAATATTTAATAATTTAAATATTATTATTTATAATATTCATCTAAAATTTATAAATTATTTTTTAAATATTAATAGGTTAAATTAATTTTTAAAAATTTGTAGATGACTTATAAATTTTTTTTGAAAATTTGTAAAATAATAATAATAATAATAATAATAATAATTTACAAGTTATCTATAAATTTTTAAAAAATTAGTTGTTGTTAATATTTATAAAATAATTTATAAATTTTAAATAAATAGTTATAAATAATAATATTTAAGCTATTAAATATTAAAATATTTCATATTTTTAAATGGTTTTATTAAAATCTTGAAAAAAAAGTTCACATGCAAATTAGCACTTTAACTATATAATAATAAACCAAGTCAAATACTCAATGTGGTTCACACATAATCCGCGCAGGCAGATAATAGTAAAATTGACAACTCTTTAATGAAAGAATAAAATTACTCTCCAAAAAAATGATTTAGAAGAAACATTATCTTACTTATCAATATAAGATGCTCAACACTTGTTGAAAAAAAAATTCAAAAAAAAGGCCTTTAACCCTTTTATTTATTATTTTTTAACTTTATCTCTTATGACATGTTCAGTGAAATTTGATGTTTCAACTTTTAAGTGATGTGGGACTACTATGCATTTATGCCTTTTTTTTCCCCAGGTAATCGTAGGTGTTACTACATTTTATGTACTAATAATATATAATCTTTTGTTCAAAAATATAAAGTAATTTTAATTGAATTTCATTCCCCAATAAAGTAGTCACCTACTTTCAAGCTAATATCATCTTTTCATATTTTTCCTTATTAAACAATTTATAAGAAATATAAAGTCACTATCAGTAGCGTCACTTTTGAAAAAAGGATAATGATTATATTTCAAAAAACTAAAAATGCCTTACATTTTTTAACATTCAACTTCTTAAAAAATACTTTATATTTTTAAATAGAGAGAGTACATGGCATCAAAAGTATTATATCATATTCATTATAAACTTACTAACAATAAACTAAAAAAATATAAATTAAACATCATTATCATCATCAACAATTGGGGGAACATTGTGGGTATGATGTTACTTTGTGTATATATTTTATTTTTTTAAAAAATAAAAAAAGTACATAATCTATTATAAAATGATATTTTTTAAGTTATAATTTTTTTTTATACACTGGGAGGGTTAGGATCATTGTAACTCTATTCATACCCTACTCTAGTCTTACCTCTAGTATCAAGTGGCTATGTTAAAAAATTATTTTAAGAAATATCATAGATATTAAAGGAAACTTAAATTAACTATATAAATGTATTAATTTCAAAAACTTGACCCCAGCTAGCTAGGCAAAATCTTTCTCCCTGATATATCTCTCTCAATCAAAAAACTTTAACCTTACAAATAAATTACCATACAAAACATCACATACATATCCATAATCAAAATATTTAGTTCGCAAACAAACCATACAAAAGGCAGCGAAATTTGAATATTCAAAATCAAACGTGTCATGAGAAAATATGTTTCAATCCAACATTACACACAGCATTCGAACATCTACTAAGTTTTCAAAACATAACCCTTAAGCAAACATGCAAACAAGATCGTGTGCAACTCAACATTTATCTTCACTCTTTGAGAAGAGATGAAACAGACTTATGGATTCAATATTAGCACCTGAAATGAAAAATAGAGAGTTAATAATTAACATCTGTCAACTTTTCACCGTTAAAGAGATATAATGATTTAGGAGAGATGAAACAAATATTTGGAGAATGAAATCATCATGAAAACTAATGATTTATTGTTTCAACATGTGAATATGTTATCGTAATTATCATTTCATTTGATCATATATATTCCTAATCATGCTGAAGACCATTATTAAAATGACAAAAAACAATAAATCTAGAGCATTGACTAAAAAAACAAAGTACATGTTTTGTTGTGTTGAGCAAATAATTAACAACGAATCATTATAGAGGAAGATATAAAGACATCAAGTTTACCTGTTAATCAAGCATCTTATGCGATATTAAATGATTGTAAGCTTGCATCCATCTTTCATCTCCATTCCTGCAAGATAATCTTCCATTTCTTTGGATGGCTCAGACACCACCACATTTCGCAAATCAGGCAGTGACCATAGTTCTTCTGGAAGCTTAATCAATCTCCAGCAATAATCAATGGAGAAGCTTTGAAGGCGAGGCATTGCACCTGTGCTCAAGTTCCAAGTTTTGCATCTCATGTTTCTCATTTGAAAGACTTTGAGATTTTGGAAGTATCCACTTCTACAATCAAGATTGTCGATGATACGTCCAGCATAAGAATTAACATCAAGAGTTATTTTTAAAATCTCAAACTTGAAATGGCTCCAAGAACTTCCATAGACACATCTTCAGAACCCAGCCACAATGATATCTTGGTCAATTTTGATAGAACAATTATTGCATATATTTGAGGGAACTTGTAAGCTTTAATCTTGAGTGTTTGCAGATCAGATAAGGTTTGAAGGTGTTGCCAAGAGTTATGTGGATATGAATCCCAATCGTATAACCCCAATTTTCTAAGTTTGTGCATATAGGTTAGGGAGGTACCTGGACTATCTTCAACAGTAAAATAAGAGAGGATTTCAAGATTGTCTAGATGACCATTGAGAAGGGGCATCTTTGAATTTTTTGGAAGAAAAAGATGCTTTAAACGTTTTAGTTTTTCTATGCTCCTTGATAGAATCACAGCATTCCCCTCAATCTCCAAAGTTTCTAAATTTTGTAGGTCAAATATTGTTTTTGGCACCCTTGGTCTTGGATAAAGATCAACAGTATTTTTGAACTTCAGGTACCTTAGATGGATTAGCTGCCCAATTCTTTTTGGAATTCTTATAGTCACAATAGAGGAGATATCAAGGACTCGAACCAATTTGAAGTCCTTCAAAATGACTTCCCAACATGTGACAACCCTTTCTTCTCTTCCAAAGAAAATCAAAGAACGCACAGATGAATGATTAGCACTAAGACTAGAAGCTAGGTAAGTTGAAGCTTGATGATACACGAATAATCTTTGAGGGTTGACCAAATTTGAACTACTGGTCATAGTAATGATCTCATAGAACTTTTGCCTTTTGCTTTCTTCTATGCAAAATGCTCGTAAAAGATCATGAATGCGACATACCTTCACACCCCCATCAGTCCTCTTGCTTTCAACTTGGATCAGGCTTCGGTCAATGAGCTCCATCAAGTAGTATTCTGCAACATCCTCTGGTTGCTTATTGCCTGTATCTTTTGGTATTAACCCTTCTGCTATCCAAAGTTTAATCAATTTCCTAACACAAACTTTGAAGTCTTCAGGGTAATGACCAACATACAGAAAGCATGGTTTTAGATGCTGGGGTAAGAATTTATAACTTAGTGCCAAAATGTCAGTGCATTCAGCTTTTTGTTGAAAAAGATGCCAAATTTCATTTCCAGCAACATAAGACCAACTTGCCTTAGATCTCTCTAGTTTTGCTAAAATGCCAGCCAACACCACAATGGATAAAGGTAATCCATGACAACTTTTAGCCATTTTCCTTCCAAGATCTTCCAATTCATGAGGGCACTGCTCTCCCATAAACACCCTCTTTGATAGAAGTTCCCAACTTTGTTCTGTGTTGAGAGATGGAAGCTGGTATACAAACTCTTGAGACGGACTTGCAACACGAGCAACTTGTTCTGATCGACTAGTGATCAATATTCTACTCCCATTTTTGTCATCAGGAAAAGCATCATTTATGGAACGCCATGCTTCAGGTCTCCATATGTCGTCAAGGACAATGAGATATGGATTTCTCCTCAAGCTTTCATGGATTTTTTGCTTTAACAAATTCTCCACACTCATTCCATCTTCCAGTTCTTTTTGGATCTCTTGTTTTAGATTTTCCTTACTCATTCCATGATAACTACTTGATCCCACTTGGGCCAAGAGAATGAGCAATACTGCTTCAGCTTGCCAGTCTTCTGAAACATCAGCCCACGCAAATCTATCAAACCTTCTCTTGAGATAATCATTTTTGTAGATCTTCCTAGCAAGAGTGGTTTTTCCCTGCCCACCCATGCCAATTATGGAGATGACCTTAAGTTCTTTATTCCCACCCGTGAGTCGCTTGATCACCTTATCAGAGTAGACATTAAAGCCAACCACATCATCTTTTTCAACATTTCTCCTATATTCCTTCAAAATGGCCTTTGTATCCATCTCTATCTCTGTCTCTATCTCCGTCTCTCCTTGGATATTATGAAGCAATTCCATGGCAAGTTGTTGGTTGCTTTGTATAGCTTCAATCCTAACCTTAATTTTTTCTATCTTGTCTGCAAGATCGTGAAGAAGCTTTGTGTGACTTACATAGTTGGTCAGATCCCACCACCGTTTGATTCTTTGCCGATTAAGATCATAGATGTAAGTGTCGATCACATCCTCAGCTTCATGAACAACCTCTTGGATTTGGTCAAACTCCTTTGCGATTACTTCATATTTGTTTAGCTTTTGCTCTGAATCCTTGAGGAGAGCATTCAATGTTTCCATCTGATCTTGAAGCAACTTGATATTCTGCTTTACATCTCTAGGCAAATTGTATTCTTGTAAAAGTTGCCCAGACAATTTTCTAATCGGAAACTAACAACATTGTCTGCCATTTCTTATAATCTGTAGAGAAGACACTCACTTCAACAATTTGAGATGGTTTTGATGACAGCACATCCGTTCCGCAGTTTCCCTTTCAACGATGAGAACTTTGGGGAACTGTGACTTATTGGTTTAGAAAGGCGACTGCAATTCGAACAACCAGCAATGTCTTGTTTTTCTTTAGGAGAAGCTAATGACAAATAAAGACAAACACAATTAAATATTCGGAAATGCTGAACAGCTATCTTGCTTTTCATTATTGCTTCTAGTTCAACTTGTTCACATGTATTATTACCTGTTGCCTAATCTTTATAACATTGCGCGGTAACCCAATTCTAGGAATTATTTTTCACATGACTGTTAAGCATGGAGTGGGACAAAAATATTAAAGAAATTTTTTATCTAAAACATCTAGTAGTTTAAAGTGTTAACAAAGTATTTCATAAGGTTATTTTTTCAGTACACTTATAACTAAACCATTAAAAGTCAATGATATTGACCATTGTATCATAAATTTGAAATTTAACAATTTGGTTACAAACGCACACACATACATTTTTTCTCATTTTAAGCTATCGGATGTTTTAGGCCAATGACTTCTTGAGTATTTTTGCTCATTTGCCTTAAATTATATCAATAGATCCACAGTAATATATAATAAAATGTAAACAGCATTACCCAAAAAAAAAATGTCAACAGCAAAGTAATTCTCAAATTTTAATGGTACTTGTTTGGTTTAATGGGAATTTTGATTTTAATTTGATCCAATTCCTTTATTTGGATACATAAAATTATAGATTCAAATCCAAATTCATTTTTTATTGTAATTCTTTTGTAATTTTAAATTTCTTTTACAACCTAATTATTTGAAATTTTAGTCACTCCAAACATCTTGTTCTTTTCATATTTTCACTACTAATATATTTTTGACACTCATATCTTTTTTTTTCATATTCTAGTCTCATCTCTTGAATATTAAAAAATAAAAATAAACTCATCATTCCTAATGTTTTATTTTTGTTTCAAATTTCACTTATCTATCTGCTTCATTTAAAATTTTTTAGACTATCTAAATAAAAAATTTCAAACGAAAAATTTGAAATGAAAAACTTCAAATCTTAGATTTAAATATAAATTCATAAATCCAAACATTATCTAAAATTTAGGATAAAATGGCCTGTTGATAGAAAAAAAATGTTGTGCTCAAAAAATATGGACCAAATTTTAAAAATTTAGGAGTATGGTTGATTTATATTGATCTATAAGGGGTGTAATATTGATATATAAGAGGTTTATCATAAAAAATTTAAAATTTTTTAAGGAGTTTATTATTGATATATAACAATATATCATTCACAAGTATAATAAACTAATTATAATATAAATATAATAAATATTAAGTTGTTTGTTTTATTTAGTTTTATAATATAAACTATATTTGCAAAAGCATGTAAAATTTATCATTTTCTTATATCAACGGTCTTCCATGACACGGAAGGGGGGTTGCCAAAAAATTGAAGTTAGTCCACCTAATCAAGTGTTATGACGCACGCACGCACGCACCCACGCACCCACTCTTTAGTCTTATTTAATGCAGAAACTAACTTTGTTAGCTTTATTTACAAGAGATGTCATAAACTTTAATCCTATTACAATAATTCTATTGCAAATTTTCGTCTTTTACTTTCATTAAGTATTCATAATAAAAGATATTATTAAAATATATATTTAATTGAGATAAAATTTAAAAACTTATCAATTTTTTTAAAAATAATTAATTTCAAGGTTAATTTTCATTGGTTCAAAGGAAAACAATTTAGGGTTTGTTTGGATAACTTTCAAATGTACATTCAGGTCAATGTGTTTTTTGTCTAATTCAATAAATAGTTAGATTTACAAATGAAGTTTTTCCATATATAAATTGAAAACTAAACATAAAAATTGAATACGGTGATATTTTTTCAGGCAAAAAAAAAAATTGAAATTTGAACGAGTCAATGTCGTAAGAAAAAGATCAAAACAAGATCGCAAGGCTTTGACAATTTCCTTGTATGTTGTAAGACAGAAAGCAAGCAATGGCGACTGGCAAGCCGATAACATTTATTAAAGTTACATTATTTGATGTAAGAAGTCTCGACAATGTAATTTATTCTTAATAAGATTATATATGGCTGGCTCTTTGGTTTCTACATGTGTCATGTACTGGTGGCGCCAGCAATCACTTTAAAAATAAAGTTTGGTACATTTCAAACTTTTATAAAAAGTTTTGGTAAAAAACAAAAATTTTTTTACAAAAAGTGGGTAGAATCGACCCCACTTGGAACCACATTCTTTCGTCCCCAATTTGAATTGGGGTTTATAATATTAAAATTTACGTAAATTAATACAATAGTAAATTGAAGTTGAGATCCTCTTGTTAAAAAATGTGAGGCAATTAAATCTTGCTCCCAATAAAATATTTAATTTTTTTAAATTAACACAATATTTTTATACGAAGAAAATCATTTTGGTGGTACCTATCCATTGTCTTAGTTTTTAATTTGGTACTCTAATTTTTTTGTTTTTTGTTTCTATTTCCTCTTCCAGGTTTCCTCCACCAAGCCCGTTACCCCCTATAGATTAGAAAACTCGTTGAGTGTCCAACAGAGAAGAACATGCAGGAGCGGAGCCAGAATTTAAGAATAAGGGAGGCTAATATTAAAAAAAAATATATACTATAAAATTTTCATAAATTTTATGAGGGTCGAAAGTATGTAATACCTATATAATACAAAAAAAATTTAAAAAATTGGGAGGCCATGGTCCCTGTTGGTCTCCCCTCTCTCCGCTATTGAGAACATGGATCAAACTATAAAATAAAAAAAAGGAGGAGTCTTCATGAAATAGGGCTTCTGAAACAGTGAAGGCATCACGCGATTTTTGTTCAACTAGGATTTGATGCAATTTTCGGTTTGGGGAGCGTGGCTGCGAACGTCATTCGAGTGGGTGATCTCCATTCACAAAAATAGCTTCAAGTGATTGTGCGACAAGGTGATCCAATTCACCAAAAAGAGGGTTTGTGATTTTCATCAAATTGGAATAGGTAAGCTTTGTTTAATTTCTCTATTTTTTTGGTATGGCTTCGTCTCTTTATGAATTATCATCAATTAACATTTTGTTTTGATTAAAAAATTAAAAATATGACTCTATCTCTAAATCTGTAAATGCATTAAGAAATAATAATAATTACATCTTTAATATATTTATTTCAATCATCTCTAATTCCATTTTCAAATTAATAAAAATAAAATTATAAAATTTTAAAGAAATATAGTGAGGGAATTAGAAATGGTTAAATTTTTGTCTCTAAATTTATAAAAAAAAATCTGTCTTAAATTCAGTCTTTAAATTTTTTAAAAAATATAAATTAATATTAGAGACAGATTTGGAGATAGCTAACTTATTGATGAAATTTATTCATATCTAAACTTATCTCTAACATTTTTAATTTTTTAAAAAAATTAAATTTTTAATGAATGATGATAGAAGTCAAAATGGATTTTGTGACACTTTTTTTTATAGACATATATTAGTGATTTATAAATCTCTTTTTATATTTTAAAATATTTTTAAATTAAATTCTTTTTTAAAAATATAATAGTCTCTATTTCTGTCTTTATTAGAGACGATAATTATGCCGTTTTTAATTTTTATTTTTATTTTAATAATTTTTTGTAGTGTTTGGAGCATATGAAAGAAGAGAAACAACATTTACAACAACAGTAAGGAGCACATGAACGAAGTCAAAAGAATGTGAAGAAAGAGATCGAGAACATGAAGCAAGAGATTGAGAGGTTGAAGATTGTGTTGCTTGTTGGGCCTTTTGTGCTTGCTTTTCGGATATGGAGTGTAAGCTTTATTGTGCGTGAATGTTTGGAACTCTTAGCGGAATTTAATAAAGTGGGTGGATGGATCTTCTAGTATTTTTTTGTTGTACTAAGATGTAATTTAGGTGGGTAGATGGACCAATTCTATTGTAATTTAAGGAAACATTATTATGAAATGAAGATTAGTTTTATTGCTATTGGCATTTTTTTGTTTCTTTTGCTGTTTAATTCATGTGACATTTTGGCTGTCATGAATCAAAATAATATGAAAGTTTCTTAATATATAAAGCTTTAGATATACTTGCCGTAACAAAATCAAAACAAAATAAATCCAATTTGTACTGTCTTTATAGCAAGTGCTAATATTGTGTGATAGCGTGGAGGGCACTACAAAAAAAAAAAAAAACAAACAAACAAAACAAATGGCTTTTGGTGCAACTTTTAGCGATGATAAAAAAAAATCACTGCCAAAGGTCTACTTTTGGTGATGACAATTAAAAATTATTGCTAAAAATAGACTAACACTGCTGCTAAAAGTTGCCACCAAAAGTTGATTTTTAGTAGCTATAATTAATTGTTGCCACCAAAAGCTCCATTTTAACGGCAAAGTTTAATTGTTACCACTAAAAACATTTAATTGTTGCAAACCGTGGCCACCAAAAGTATCTTCATAAAAAAATAATTAAAAATAAAAAAAATTTAATTACTTTTAGCAACGACAAACCTTTGCTATCAAAACTATTTTTAAAAATAATTAAAAAATTAAAAATAATTTATGTGATTACTTTTTAGTTGGAAACGACTTGTCAACACTAAAAGTATTGGAATACAAAATAATTAAAAAATTAAAAATAATTTATGTAATAGCTTTTAGTGATGACATTTTGTCACCGCCAAAAGTATTTTCTTAAAAAAATAAAAAATATTTTTCATACAAAATAATCAAAAAATAAAAAGTAATTTATCTAATTACTTCTAGTGCCGACAAACCCTCGTTGCCAAAAATATTTTTAAAAAATAATTAAAAATAATTTATGTAATTATTTTTTAGCAACGACAAACTATCATTGCCAAAAGTATTTTTATAAAAAATAATTAAAAAATAAAAAAAATTATGTGATTTCTTTTAGTGGCGACAAACAGTTGCCACTAAAAGTATTTTAATAAAAAATAATTAAAAAATTAAAATAATTTATGTAACTACTTTTTACGGCCACAGTTTGTCACTACAAAAAATATTTTTAGAAAAAAATAATTAGAAAACTAA